TGTGTGTGTGTGTGTTGGGATTTAAAGTTGTGTGTCTGACTGTTGTACCTGATTCTGACGGCTGGTAAGTGCAGTAAGATGTTTAAACCTCGCATGTCAGCGCATGTGTCGGCCCGATGTCTCAGTACGTGCATGAATTTCCGCCTTCTTGTGTTTTATTGACCTGACGTCTGTGAACGTTTATTTATCATTTATTTATTGAACTTTTAAGTGAAAGAACAACTTTCAGCTCAAAGGGATCAATATCTTCACACCCAGAGTGACACAAAAACAAGGTCAAACAACTTAACATCAACAATAATAATGATAAAGAATTCTCACATACAAACATATCTGTACATTCATTTACACCCACACACACTTTGCTTCAGCTTTTTGTTTTGACCAACTTGAATATATAATAATATATCTCATAATTGGTTATTCATTAATATTTTAAATAAATTAAACCCACATTAGGACATTATCAACAACTTGTATTACATATAATACATGTTTGTTTTCAATGTCCGCTTTTACAGTTTACTAAAAGCACATTTATTAACTGTTAATAAATACATTCATAAACACGTAAAAATGACCTTTTATCTGCTTACAACTGCATTAAAGTGCTATAATGTGTTATAAGTCATTTATTAATTGTTTATAAATTTGAGTTTAAAATAAAATCATACCAAAAAACTAATTTTAAAAGCATTTTTTATGATGAAAAACAATATTTGGATTCTTACTTTATTTATCTGTGTATGTTCATATATAAGTATTTTTATGACATATGTTCCTCTTCCATACCGGACTTGTTATTACTGCAGCGACTCTCTGGGGAACTCCACAATCACTTCCCCCTATAGGAGCGTATTAAAGGTTGCACACACAGACGGGGTCGGGTGGCAAAGGTTGCGAGGTTGCCGTGTAATGATTTCCGTAGTGGAGGTTTATTAAGTTACCACAAAGGAGAAGACACTCGGATGTTGTCGTTGTTGTTGTTGTTGTTTTCTCATTAGAGGTTCATGAAACGAGGCTGAAGGATTCTCAGCAGTTTCCTACAGACAGAATGACACCTAATATGTTCGAGGATCGATATTTGACCCTCAGTGTGCCTCGAAATGTCATGTGCAGTGAGTTAGTGTTCACTTACCTGGGTTTTATAAAGGAAACAACAACAAAAGGAGGCGTATGCTCTCTCTAATGGCAATTACAGTATGTTTACTTCTACCTTCTATTTTAAAATGTATACGACAATAGTGGATTTAAATTCATGTAAACAGAAATTGTCCTTTAAATTTACACAAAACATGCATTTATTCATCTTTACTGAGTTTTGTGCTAAAAGAATTCAACGCCTGTCCCAAATAAAGGCTGGGGGGAGTTCAGTGATTTAAGCAAATAAACACCTAGGCTATTATTAAGTTTTACAGGTTTGCATAACTACTTCTTTGTATGAATAAAACCTCTTAAAGCTCACTATGTTCCCTGTGAAACTCAATTTTGAGACTGCTCCGTAAATAGTTTTCAAATATACATAGCAACTAACTTCTGAACTGCCAGGTAGCCACACCCACTTCCCGCCCAAATTATACAGATAATTTAGTCGGGTAATGGCGTATTCGCTCATCCCTCGTCATTTGTTTTGCAGGAATTTGGTCGTGAACCAACAGTATTGACCTGATGATGGTGTTTCAAAATCCAATCCTGAAAAATTAACATTTCTTCAGAAGCAGACAAAGTCAAGCAAGCTGTGCGTGGCTGTTTCCAGTCTTTATGCTAAGCTAAGCGAAATCACCTGCTGGCTGCAGCTTCATATATAGCGCATAGACATCTAAGTCTTGGGGAAAACAAGCGTAATTTCCTAAATGACAAACTATTCCTTCAAATCCAGACTCTCTTCTTCCTGGGGAATTGTCCCAAAGAGGCTCGAAACTGACGAAGAAAGTGATCTTGAACCTTCTACCAGACCCTCGTTATGTCTCTGACAGATGTGTTTAGGATTTCAGTACTGGGAGCTGTGAGGTGCTGTGATGATCTAATCAGGTTTAATGTAGTTTAAGTAGGTTCCAGCTCCTGTTCATAAGTGAAACCTCCTCTAATTGTGTTTGTGAATCAACGAGCTGAGGGTGACACGATGAAGACTCTCCTGCAGCTGGAGCAACAACGTACAGCTGTTTCTGTGCCGCTGAGGTGGAATGATTATTGGTTGATGGTGGCACAAATCAATCACCGTCAGCATTAACTGCTTATACAACAAGGAGCTGTGTGTGTGTGTGTGGACTGCAGGTTGTTTGTCAGACTGCTGTTACATCAGCGTCTGAGCAGGAAAGACACGACTGTTGCAAAGAGACAATCTGTGTTTGGTTCCTCAAGTAAACAAATGGCAAAAAAAAAAAAAGGCTTATAAAGGCTTATACACATTATAAGACCCATCTGTCCGTCTCAGTTATGTGTGTGTGTGTGTGTGTGTGTGTGATAGAATATGTATAAGTGTTGCTTGAATGTCTGTCGTAGCTATTCTTAGTCCTCTGATCCGGGTTTGACTGGCTGCATCTCAGTGGTCTGTCACACTTTGATTTTTCCTTTTAAACTCTATATGAGAAACATCAGTGAGGGAGGGGCACTTTGTCTCCTAAATGTGGGGGCGGAGCCACAGGTGAAAGGTAGGAGGCTCATTAGTATGGATGGACTGAACGGACCTACAGGGTGCAGCATCAGTCTGTATGCAGTGACTGTTTAGAGAACAAACTGACTGCAAAGAGAAAAAACAAACTCAAAGAGACTCAAAACATCCAAAACTTCTACAAAGAAACACAAAACTACTATAAAAGAGACATAAAACAATCACAAAGAAAAATAAATTGACCTCAAAAAGATTCAAAACAACCACAAAGAGAAAAAAATGACTATGAAAGGGTGGAAAATAAACTCAAAAAGACTCAAAACAACTAAAACTACTACGCAAAAACAACCACAAAGAGAAAAACAAATTGACCTCAAAGTGAAAAAAAAGGCCCCAAAGAGACAAAAAATGACTATAAAGATGCAAAAAACAAGTTCAAAACAGCAACAAAGACACTAAAAAATTACCATAGAATGACAAAAAAGACAAAAATAACTACAGTTTTGTGTCTCTTCAGTCTATGTGGCCCCTGTTACGCCGTCTATAGAGCAGATATATGAGGGGTCGTTACATGTCTGTGTTCAGGGGCCCATTTGATCATTAATGAATAAACAATGTAATTAATAATAATATACAGTTTATTATTGCCAACAACCAGAGATTTAAACATTAGAAGAGAAAGTGATCTTCTTTAGTTTGTTTCTTCATTCTGACACACGGAGGACGTTCACAGAGTTTGAAGACGTTTCTAAAACATGTTTCACCGACTGTTTGTTTGATACGTGCAGCCAGAGAACCTGCTGCTGGCCAGCAAGTGTAAGAACGCAGCAGTGAAGCTGGCCGACTTCGGACTGGCTATCGAGGTTCAAGGAGACCAGCAGGCTTGGTTCGGTGAGTTAAACACACGACTCGACACATCTGCAGTCTGCTTACATAAAATATAAACAACATCACAACATGACAAGTGACCGTACTGTTGCTACACCTGTCAATCTGTCCATTGTATCACCGCACAGATGCAGTTAACAGGGATGTAGGCGGCTGAAAATTGTAGTAATTTATGAAGAAATGGGTTCTTGACGCAGCAGAATTTACTGAGGCTCGGCTGAGGAGAACAAGATCGGCATTATATGTGTAACACTCTCCATTACTGACGGTTTTCTCCTGTCAAGGGATATTTAACACAAACCCTAAAGTCTTAACTGACGCAGCTTTATATGGGAAGATCCAGTTGGGTAGTGGTTCAAAACAAACTCTAAGCCCACCTACGCTATCCTCAAGTTAAATGGCACCCAGAGTCACAGAGGCAAGGGGAGCACTGTACCATTGCAGTCTAATGTAAAGCTCTCTTCCTCTCCTCTTGGGGCAGTCGCAGTGTTGGGCTGGACCATAGGATGTTTCTGTCATAGGTAATAACATGTTTCAGCATTAAAGCTGTAAACAGATTGAAATAAAGACCCTGAATGTGCAGCCGTCGCCTCCAAATTCAGTCGATTCAAACAATTTTGGCTTAGCCCTTAAAAATTAAACCCAATCAGACGTCATTCAGAATTAAAAAAAGCTGCAAAAAAATACAAATTAAAACAAAAATGTGGCGAGTTTGAAGGATGTTGAGTGAAACATAATCACAAAACTTCCACAGACATTCAAATTAAACTTTTATTTTAAAATTAAGATACCTGCTACTGACATATGGAAGCCTATAGGATCTTCTATTTGTACAATAACATGTGCCAGTCTGTTGCCTTCCTCCTCCTCCTCCTTCTCTTGATCATGAAGTCTTCTGTTTCCTGACAGCTGTGACGTGCAGCAGGGCTGTCACACTGGAGACTGCAAACAGCATTTAGATGGAGAAAAGTAAAAAAAGGCTTCCACAGGACCGTTCATCCATACTGTCGCTTTATCCTTTTTGTCAGCGAGCCCTTAAGAGGAGGAGATTTCTGCCTCCTCAGCCTCCAATATTAGACGTATCTCATCCGACTGAAAGGCCACTTTTTCTTCAGCGTATATCCTGATATTCAGGAAGCTAACAGGGATATTGACTACGGGATATTAAGGATAATTCAGCAGCCTGATTGAGCCAAGTTACTTACTTTCTTTGACCCGGAGCCAAAATGATTTATTATAAAGAGGCTGCAGCGAAGCTAAAAGCGATGACTTTACATTAAACTACATTTTCATAAAGCATTCTCAGACTGCGTATAAAATCACTGCCTCCAACATCCCCTTCAGTCACTCATTCCTTTATATAATAAACTGATTCATCGCAGGTATGGTGTCACATTCATTTACATATTGAGCTGAAGGAGCTTTTCACTCTGTGGGATTTTCTGTCCACCAACTGAGACAATTTAGAGCTTTGAGAACCATAAAAATTCTCACAATGTCTCCACCAGGGTTGAGAGAGTTACTAATTAAAGCTGCAAGCAGCGATGTCGGGGTGTGCTGCAGCCGTGTTATGCACCAGTGTGTCATGTGTGGACCACAACATGAAATATTTAATGTAAATCAGATCAAAATCGCCACACAAGGCTTGCCAGTAGGTGGCGCTATCACTATGACTGAATATTGTCACCTGGATGTGTTCAGGGCGGGATTCTTATCAAATGTGTGTTTGGTGGAGATTGGACCATGTAGTTCCTGTTTTCGACGCAATGCTACGAGCACGGCGTTCAACGTACGGTCACAAATAGCAAAACTTTTAATCGTTAACGTCTTTAGAATTAATTGACCGAATCTGAAGTTGATCCAATAATCCTTAAATTTTCATTACCACTGAATTTTGTGCAAAGTTGAGTTGAGTTTTTGAGCATGTTAAGGCCTCAAAATTATTTTAATACCAAATGCGATTCATTTGGTATTAAAATAATAATAAAGTTAGCAAATACAATTACCTTTCATCTCATCCAAGTATCACAATATTAAAGTAATGTAACCAGATTACTTTTCCGTTACTTTAAACACAAAAATACTGTTAAATACTGTCAAACAGCTCCACGAAGACGGACACAAATGTCAATTAATTCAACCTTTTCGGGGAAGAACTTTCATTTCCAATGATGCTGAGATTATATTAGGCAACAAACACATAAACAATATAAACAAAAATGAAAAAAATAATTTGAAAATCTTAAACTATTGGCTGATTATGTGGGGAATGATTATTGATTGACCTTTTCAGCACCAGGGACAGCGACGTTCATCTCTATGGTTACAATAATAAAAAGGCTCAGATCAATTAATCAGATCGTTTATATGTTATATTATTTATCCTACACTCTTCATCAGATACACAGTATGACACAGAGACACCGTAGCTTTGGTTCGCTGCCCGAACCTGACCGGTCCTGACAAAACCCAACACATTCGGGCCCAAAACTGCTGCTGTGGGTCCAGCTCGAACAGAACTTGTTATTGATTAGTCTTGATAATAATTTGCTTAATATTCTTATATGCTGAATCAGTATGTAAAACCTGTTTCCTGTCATAAATACCAGTGTGTACATGTAGATCCAAGTAAAGTTACATTTTTTTTTTAGTTTTCATTATGGCAGATTTTATGGATTTTACTTCCAGCGGCTGTGATAATAACCTCATCTGACTTCCTCCTTTGCTTTTTGCTCCACTGCATATGTTCCTTATGTAAAACCACACGAGAACCTGGACCATGATGTGTGTTTTTCTGGTGTTTGTGTGTGCGCAGGCTTTGCAGGGACTCCCGGCTACTTGTCCCCAGAGGTGCTGAGGAAGGAGGCGTACGGTAAACCCGTGGACATCTGGGCATGCGGTAAGCTCTCTGTCGGTGCGTGTCTCACCGCCGCCTCCTCTCCCTCTCCCTTCATGTCACTCAGACAAAGGTTTGTGTTTCTTTGTGTAGGTGTGATCCTTTACATCCTTCTGGTTGGGTACCCTCCGTTCTGGGACGAGGACCAGCACAAACTCTACCAGCAGATCAAAGCCGGAGCATATGATGTGAGCCTGTCGCTATAATGCCTCCAAAATTCTCTCTTTTCTCTCTCTAAATTATGTTGTTTTTATATATGTGGGCACGCATTGGGTGTGCTTTAGTTTCCCTCCCCAGAGTGGGACACGGTGACTCCGGAGGCTAAAAATCTGATCAACCAGATGCTGACTATCAACCCAGCCAAGAGAATCACTGCCCAGGAGGCCCTGAAACACCCATGGGTCTGCGTAAGTACACATGTATCAGCACCCTGTTCCTGCCGACGGGTCAATGTTTCATGGCCCTCCTGTGACCCTGAGTTTGTGAACATATGTCCAAAGCTGCCAAATATCAGCACCATCTGTTTCCAAACATGGAACATCTCTAACATTTGCAGGTCAGCTGCTCCACAGGAGGGTTAAACTGTGTGAGGGATGAGCGCTAGTATGTGCAGTTAAAGTGATCTGAGATGATTTGTTCTAGATGAAAGTGAGAAAAAGAAAATTTTCTGACATTAATCTAACTTTAAAATGTAGCGCAATGTTTACTCCTTAAATTAGTCCTATAATAGAGCTGCACAATTAGCTGAAATATTATCGAAATCGTGCAAAAACTGCAATATTCAGCTGCTTAAATTTTCTCCCGACCCTAAAGAAATCTCCTCACTGCTCTCCGAGACTTAAATTTATTGCTACAACTCATGTAAATGTGTTTAAAGAAAGCAGATCTTCAGTCAATCATTGCCAACTGATGCATCATCACACCCAAAAAACAAATAATACTAAACTAAAAACCACTAAAACTAAGTTATTAATCATAAAATAAACACAGTATGTCAGAATACATAAGTTAGTGTCAAAGATCACATTAGCTGGGGAAGCTAAAGTTGAATAACGTTATTTGGTTTGAAGTAACCTTGAAACAAATCATCCTAAATCTGGATGACAGTATATTGCTACGGTAGCCAGCTTAAAGCACAATTTTGACTTTGGACTTTGGTGTCGTGGTGGATGTCGGTTGTTTGTTGGTGTTGCACACAGATAGAAACACATATACATCAGTCCGCAGGCTACCAAGATACACGTTCACACATTGGCAATAAAAGGTGATTAATAAATAAAAAATAATACATATGGAACCTTTCTGCTGCCTGTACCATATGTCCTATCAAACACTGTATAATAAAACAGTCCCTGTATATAATGATGTAATCCACATTTGCCTTAAACCCAAGTGAAATGTATTTAGCTCCAGGTTTTTTTGTGCCAAGAATGTCGTCACCTAAAAGAGCCTCCGAATCAACACATTGGAGGGAAGCGAGTATCTCCGACAGCTCCTGCCCACATAAACCTGTCACTGTCAGAGCCTCTAATGTTTTATTTTCAGCCTCTCTTTCCCTCTCTGTCTCCCCCCCACAGCAACGCTCGACAGTGGCCTCCATGATGCACAGGCAGGAGACGGTCGAGTGCCTGAAGAAGTTTAACGCCAGGAGGAAACTCAAGGTGTGAAAGTGCTTCAAGTTTAAAGCTCTAATCTGTGAATCTGTGTTTACTCGGAGCGAAAAGCATCGGATAAATCGGAGAATTCTTTTTCACGCTGCAAGATTTTGTCCATTTAAAGTTATAATAACACGCTTTCACATCAGTTTCATTATTTTTCTCCCTTTTATTAAGGTTTTTTCCACTTTTTCCCACATTACAGGGTTCTCAGTTCACATTAAAGTGTTTTTAGGAGTTTTTCCTCGTCTGAGTTGATGCTGTAAAGACCGAGGGGGTCAACTTCTCGTCTTAAACTTAATCTTTGTTTTCCTCGAAGTAACGATATAAACAACTTGCGCTGTTCAGTAATTGCAAACATGATTGTTTGTGGCTTCCATAAATAAGAATAGAAAAATAAATATAAAGAATAAAGGATAATACTTCAAAAGATCTTCAAAAGTATTAAAATTCTAATATTTGTATTTTTTTTAATGAAAGATAATGTAAATACAGTTTGTCACAGTTGTAAAGTCACTTTAATGTTTTTCCATTGTAGACTTTAAACTGATTTATTAGATGCCACAAAATTTTAAGCTGTTGAAGCCTTGAGTTTGGCGTTATGGTCATTACCGTTTATTGGAGCCAGCGGAGGTCACGTACAGCTGCTCTCATTGGCTGCTCAGTTTCGACTCGTTCGTAGCAGGAAACAATGGCAGCTCGTCTGGTCACACACAATCTGGTATTCCAGATAAACAGTGCACAATCACAAGGTAGCCCCGCCTTAAAGCATACCCTGCTTT